TTTGGTTTGTTTTTCTTCCATTTCCTGCCTTTTTTTTGTTTCTTCTTTCTTCCATTTCTTGGTTTTTTTTTCCTTTTCTTGCATTTTTTGGTTTGCTTTTTCGTCCATTTCTTTGAGGAATTTTCCTATATCCTCTTTTAGGGCCTCTATCATTTTCATGAAGGTGTTTTTAAGATCATTCTCTTCTGCTACATTTGGAATGTTGGAGTCTTGCTGGTGTGGTGTCCCTAGAATCTGGCAGTATCATATTTGTTTTTCTGTTGCTGAGTATGTTTTTGCATTGTCTCTTTCCAATCTCTTCTTTTAGTGGGTTCAGAAAGAGTCCCTTATTGGTCTGGTGGTTAGGAGAACAGAGTTCCCTTTTGATGGATGCTAGCAAGTCCAATAATTTGGTAGTTCTTCTATTCTTCGTCCTCGTTCTGGTCCTGTGGGTGGAGAAGAAGACCAGGAATCTGGAGTGCTTAGCCTCCCACCTGGTCCCCTTATCCCTTTCCTGGAAGAGAACACTTGGGATTTGGGGTGCTCCTGCCAGGATGGCAAGCTCTGTGGCTGTCCCTAGTCACTGGAAGGCAAGCCTAGGATGCGGGGCCTTGCTTACCTGGATCTACTTGTTTCCTGGTCTCGTTGGTGGGAGAGAAGACCTGGAATCTGGGGTGCTTGGCTCCCACCGGGATTGGAAGCTCTGTGCAGTTCTCAGGCAATCCCCAGGCACTGGACCACAGGCCCAGATGCAGGTCCTGTTTTACCTGGTCCCACCAGACCAGATGGCCCCCTGGTCTCCTTGTTGGAAGAGAAGACCTGGGATCTGGTGTGTTTGGCTCCTGCCCAGATGAGAAGCTCTGCAGCCTTCCCCAGTCACTGGAAGGCATGTCGGGATGTGGGGCCTTCTTTACCTGGATCTACTTGGCCTTCAACTTTATCGCATGTAGCTGTTTTACATCCCAAAGTCCACACTACATTCCTGCTTCCCCAGCTTTGCAGTGTCCTCATAATCCATATGGTTTGTCCACCCCACACACTTTCTTTTTCTATTTTTATTTAAATTAGAAACAAGATTGTTTTACATGTCAATTCCAGTTCCCTCCCCTCCTCCCCTGTCCTCCATTAACTCCCTATCCTATCCCCTTTCTGCTCCCCAGGGAGGGTGAGGTTTTCCACGGGGGAATCTTCAAAGTCTGTCATATCATTTGGGTCAGGGCCTAGATCCTCCCCCCTGTGTCTAGGCTGAGATACTATCCCTCCCTCTGTGTGGAATGGGATCCCAAGTCCATTCTTTTGCTAGGGATAAATACTGATCTAGTACCTCAGGGCCCAAAGATTGCTGAGGCCTCCTCAGTGACACCTAATTTCAGGGGGCCTGGATTAGTCCTCTGCTGGTTTCCCAGCTATCAGTGTGGGATCCATGAGTTTCTCCTTATTCAGGTCATCTGTTTCTGTGGGTTTCACCAGCCTGGTCTTGACCCCTTTGTTCATCACTCCTCCCTCTCTGCAACTGGATTCCAGTTCAGCTCAGTGTTTAGCTGTGGGTGTCTGCCTCTGCTTCCATCAGCCCCTAGATGAAGGCTCTAGGATGACATATAAGGCAGTCATCAGTCTCATTATCGGGGAAGGGCATTTAAGGTAGTCTCTCCAATATTTCATAGATTGTTAGTTGGGGTCATCCTTGTAGATCTCTGGACATTTCCCTAGTGCCAGATTTCTCTTTAAACCTATAATGGCTCCCTCTATTGGGGAGTTTCCTTACTTTCTCTCCTCTATTCTTCCCCGACTCAACCTCATGTCCTCCTCTCCCCTCATCTTCTCCCCTTCTCTTACTCCTAACTCCCTCTCCCCTCCCTGCATGCTACCAGTTTGCTCAGGAGATCTTGTCCCTTTTCCCTTCTCCGAGGGCCCATGTATGTCTCTCTTAGGGTCTTTGTTTCGTAGTTTCACTGGAGGTGTGGCTGTAGACTGGTGATCCTTTGCTCTATGTCTAAAATCCATGTAAGAGTGAGGACATACCATGTTTGTCTTTCTGTGCACCCCACACACATTCACGCTGCTCTATTCTCTGCCTCTTGCTATCTCTCTAACTTTGCTATTCTTTCCTGCCATACTTTCTCATGTTCTCTCACTGATATCTCTGGCCATGGCCAGTCTCTTTTTCCTTTTCTACTGGTCTCTATATGTCTTATAACAATGTGCTTAGTTCTTGTGTCTTCAGGCTTAGTCAACAAACCAGATGTTTCTGATGAAATTTCCCAAATCTCCTTCCCCCTTCCTACCATACTAGCCTCCTGCACTCTAACCTTTCTAGATACAGGAATGTTAGCTTTTCATTAGTCAGAAATTATGTTGCCTTTGTCATCAATATAAGACTGGAATGTTAGGTCTCACAGGCAATCCACATATCCAGAAATAAGCTCAAGCTTGGCTATCGAAACATTTCTGTCAGTTACATAAAAGCCAGCAATCCTTATGAGCTTGTTAAACAGGATATCCCCAAAAGGAGCAATTTCCCTTACCTCCCACAGAAGGGACTCATGACTCTCCAATTCACATATACTGGTGGCACCTATCAGCATATCAAATCCCACGCTGGTCTCCAGGGTCCCTCAGTCTCTGTTCAAAAGCTTTTGTTACACATTCCAAAGTCCATGCTAGAATCTTAGACTTTTTCACATCCTTCTGTACACTATGCCCCTTCTACCTCATGGGCTTTTGCTCCCCCAGCCAGTCATCCTTCTTATAAGCCAGCTACTCTTACTATTCTTTCTCTTTCTCTATTGCTATGCTCTGCTCTATCTGTAGCTGTTTCACTCTCTCCACGATTCTTTCCTGCCATGCCCTCTTACATTCCCTTATGCTTTCTCTCCTCTTTTCTAGTCAGTTTCTCTTTCTCTCTGCTCTGGACCCTTCAGATACCTGTGGATATTTTCACTTTCTTACACACACACACACACACACACACACACACACTTCTAATAATAGAGCAGTCAATTCAAAAGTTTCTTTATTGTAAACCCTCTGCTACAATAGGAAACTGAAATCCAAAGAAAATAAACCGCTGCATGTCTCTCACTGGATGGTAATTAGATCATGAACTTGGACCTTGAGATTTCTCTTTCCCCTAATTCTGTAGCCTATTAATTCATTTTTAATCAAACAAATAGATAGAATAGATTAAGAATGACTCAGCCCTACACATTTATGAGTCTAAATTCTGTCCTGGCCTCCTTTCAAAGCATGCCACAGAACTTTTTTGGGTATGCATTGTCCCTTTGTCTTCTGACACTTGACATAGCCTCCCCTGCGGCATGGGTGAGATCTGTTTCTCAAAAGCTTGATGGGCAATGATTGAGAATGCTACAGAATTTTCTTTGAACATGAAGTTGAAACAACAAGCCCTCTGGAAGCTGGCATGACCATGTTCATGATCTGGTTTCTGTCCTCTATTCTGGTAGCCAGTGTATACTCTCTGATCCAAATAGAACTTTCAAAAGAAACACTGGGTCATTAAATCACAGAACAAAGAAAGGAAGGGAGGGAGCCAAATGATGTTGACCTTCCCTGCCAACTTGATTTGAATGCTCACTGATGTCACCTAAGTCCAAAGAAGGGGCATGGGGGAGTTGGGTTCTGAAAGAAAAGACCCCAGGTCCAAGGCAAGGACAGACTGCAAATGGGTAGGATACAAACAGAAAGCTATTTCCAGCAGGTAAGCGATAAATCCAATCTTTATTACCTTTTATTATGTTGTTTCAACAGACTCTTAAAGACAGCACAACGGTCTGTTGATAGTGGCACTAAATCTCTTTCATTTTCTCCCCATATTACTTTTTCCTCCTGGATTTTTTCTCTCTTCTCTCTCTTCATGAGTCAAATTTTATTGGTCTTCTCTAGAGGATCATGGTGGAATTGTTAATGATGGAGAACAAAAATCCAACAACCCTCAAATGTTCAAAATGTGAACTAGTAATGAACATGTGCATGTCCTATGTATGTATGTGTTGTGGTGTGTGGTGTGTGTGTGTGTGTGTAAAAGCAGAGTTAAGGCATAAATTTAATTGCAGGAAATTGGGGCCTGGGTGTGTGTGACAGGCATGAACATAAGAATAATTTATTGCCAAAATGTTAAATGCTAGAACAGAATTAAAATAAGCTAAGGGTTACATTTTTTCACTCTTTTTCTTCTTCTCTTCTTTAAACTCTACTTAAGGAGCAGAATTTTATTAGGAAACCAATCCTAAGAATACTGTGAGGTGGTAAAGCAAAGCAGAGATACAAGAGTGAGGGCGAAGGGAGAAGATGAAGGAAGGTAGATGAGGGGTTAAGGGAGAGAAGGAGGACACAGAAGGGGATGGAGGGTGGAAGATCTGGGGATGGTAACTGTATATCCTGGAGACAGATTACAAGTATTAAAGTGTACAGTGTGCCACTTACTACAGTGTGGATTTGAGAAAGCAACTTGACCTTTCTTTGTCTCTGCTCCCATGTTTGTTTAAAAATAGTAGTGCTACCTTCTCTAGATAAATGGTAGGACTTAAGTAAGTTAATTCAAGGAAGGTACTCACACATGGGGAAGGTTAAAGAGAATTAGCAGTTATCACCATGAGCAAAAAGAATTGAGACATGAAGGATGCAGACATAGGTAGGAGCTAAGTCCCATCCAGGAGACAAAGACTTCCAACTCCTGGAAATTAGGTCTATCAACCCAGGCAATTCATTGTAAGGAAATGGGATTTTTATCTCCTATTGTCAAAGTGAATGTTTAATGCCATCATTACCAAGTATTTGATTTTCATTTGTATTCCGTGTGCTTCAATATTTTGTTAAAGTAGTGCAGCCCATCAAATTGGGACCCAGAAATTGTAAATGCACCAGATAGGCAGCTTCCCTTGCTTTTAATGAGGAAAACAATTTTTCAAGCCTTGTTAGAATTGCCAAACAGTGTTTCCTGCTGGGCAAGCTTCATTTACTTGGCATCTCCTACTGAGAGACACCAGTACCATTCCCAGAATGGGGAGTTGAGAAGACAGGCAACTGATTGAAAAAATACCAACTTCAATTTGAAATTTGTGTCTTCCAAAGAATAGAAAGGTATTGTTTTGGTGGGGGAGGAGTAATTCTTACTTTTTAAAATGAGCTTTGCTTAACAATTAGATAAATTCATTCCATTTATATGCTTTAAAATGTTAAAATTTAACATTTAAATGTAAGAGATCCTGTCATGAATAAGTTCAGACTGATTGATTCAATTTCTGGGAACAGTGACAAGGATCTTAAGACTGGTTCATATCTCAGTAGGGAAATGCTCAAATCCTCTAGTAATGTCTGCAATGTAGAAGTTGCTAGTACTGGTTCAACTTTACCCTTATCTAGTCCAATTTTCTATTTTACAAGCATTTTTAAATCTTGTACATTGTAATTTATACAAGTTGATTTATAAATTCCATCTTAGTATGTGTGGATTTACTGAGATATGAAGATTTGAATATAAATAAGAATGATTTGTGGATAATTGGCAAGTAATCAGATTTGGCTAAATAGTTTTGTGAGCTTTTGAACAATATGATTTTTTGAACAGTTTAAACTGGCTTTTCCCTATTCCTGCTGCTGATTTTGCATTTAATCTTTGCTACCTAGAAAATATACTAAAAACAGTTTACAGCTATTAAAAAGTTGTGCTGATTCAAATACAACATACTTTGTAAGTATATTAGAAATTACTAATAATTCAGAAATAAACAAAACATAAATGCGTCTGTGATCAGTGTAATCAGCTTTCTAAGAGTTGTAAGTTCAAGGGCAGGTTTTGTTTGTTTTATTGGTTTCAAGGTTCATGGATTTTAATTACTGCTTTTGCTGTCCTCTTAACATTGAATCTAAAGATAATGATTTATGTTTCAAAGCTTTTGACTTTTCAAACATACTCCTTTAATACCTCCTTATGTTTTAGTACCCTATATACTATAAATATATCATATTATATTAATTATATTATTCATCTTTATTATTATTATTGTATTTTTGTCATGGAGAAGGTAGACTGTAAAGAGTTGAAGTAAAAAAGCAATCTCAAATTCTCTCTCTCTCTTTCCCACCTTCCTCCCCTTTCTTCCTCCTTTCTTCCTTTTCTTGAAAAGCAAATCCCAGGTTGAGAAAACTAATGTCCTTCATGTATCTAAAAGCCCAGCGTCTTAAATCTTTCCACTAATTCTGTTAAGACTGAAATACCTGGACAGGTCCTGGGGTCTGGCTTGTATCAGGCCTATGATGCACGGGCCATCCATTCTGCACTGATGTCTTTGCGGCTGTGTTCAGAACCAGCCAGACAGACCTGGGTCCAACCCAGAGTGGGGGAGTGTGGATCAGGGAAGTCCTAGCTACCCAATGGCGCTGAGACAGAGACATTTTGTCATTTCAGTAGGGCTCTCAGTCCATACTGGAGACCATGGTTTATTCAAGCATCTTCTTAAATAGCTTTCCAAAAGTGGGGGTACTGGCAGAAGACATCTATTATCATGTATATAGGGCTAACCAAGAAACACTTCCTTTAACCCTAGAGATGGTCCTAGAACACACGTATATAAACCCTCAGACATTCTGTAACGCACATCTCATGAGTCTTCAGATATGCCTTACTGGTTCCCAGGCATGCCCCATCAGCCCTTGTGATGGGTATGGGACCTAGGTCTATTGTTACACAAACTAAAAGGCATTTTCCACTGTGACCAGGCCATCTGGAGGTAACCAGCCACCATCTAAAACACAGTAGGAGATTCAAGCTCCTGGAAGTGAGCTGAGGCCTATACCCGAAATATCATATTCAGGCCCCGACAAACAGGAAACAGGTGTAAGTCAAGCTGTAGACAAACAGCATAAGATACTGAAGTATGGAAATTAAGGGTGGTATGTCCAGAAGTAGAATCATAGAAGACTTGAGAAGGGCAGGAGAGATGAGGAAAGACCTCTCAAAGCAGTGTTTTAAAAATATAAGATCATACAAGGGGCTAGGGGCTCGCTTTTGATCCCAACACTCAGGAGGCAGAGGTGAGTGGATCTCTGAGTTCAAGGCCAGCCTTATAGAGTGAGTTCCAGGACAGGCTCCAAATCTCTACAGAGAAACATGTCTTGGAAAACAAAACCAAACAAAAAGGTATAAGATCATTATCCCGAAGTGTATTAGAGAAATATTTTATGCAATCGGACACACATTATTTAAAACTATTTCTGACATCCTGCCACTGCAAGTGGTTCCACAGTGGATGTTGACCTCACTCTAACATAAACTATGATTGCCAGGGACAGACTCAGGTCACAATTCTTTCTCTGCCATTTCCAAGTTTATATCTTCAGTATGTGGTTACCTCTAGATAGTATCTTTCCCTTATTTTTCTGCCTTTTAATATGTCTTCAGACAATAATGGTCTCTGGAGCCTATGCTTGGGATACCTGACCTAGCATGTGCTCGGGCATTAGTCCTCCTTATTTCTGTCTGTCAGAAACAATTGAACAGATCAAGAGAAAAGAATACATTGGATTTCCCTTAAGTAGGATGCAGGCTATCAATGAGAGTTTCGTGCTAGAATTGAACTCTGTGTGTTGTGACTCAGGGAAGAACATTTCATCAATTTCTAACAGGGTTCAACTAGAGATTTGGGGTAGATACTCAGAAAAGCAGGGGAGTGATGCCAAATTAAATCAACCTAGTGATTCATTCAAGGGCTGTGATGCCTTCTCCACAAAGAAAAAAATCACTCAAATTCCCTGTAGTTTTCAGTTCAATTTTCAGAATTCATCCCTTTAAAATTTTACTGAAGCTTATTTAATGAGAGTGAGGCATATGCTAACACCTAATTATATAATATATATATTTTTTATGTATATGATAGATATAATCCTTTTTGTAATATGTCCTATTTCACAGAACATAAGCCAATTCAAATAGACAATGCAATATAAAAATTTAGTTTGTAGTATATAAATTACATACATATACACATATACACACACATTTTTGTTACATCTTCACCTATGTTTGTGCACATATATATGTCACATATATACACACATTTTTTGCTACATCTATAACTATGTGTATGTATACATATATGTATGCATATACACACACATGCCTACATACACACATATAGATACATACATACAAATGCATCTTCTCTAAGTCCATATGCATTGATTTTTCCACATCCCAGTGTCAAATATATCCACTTTCTCATAAACACTTTTTAACAAAGAGACCTTTGTAGAACAGATGTGATAATAGTTAAGAGGCTCCAATGGAACAGAACTGATAGACTGATAATATATGACCAATGTGACTTTGAAAGAGTAGCTTACATGATACAGAGTGGAGAAGCTAGTAATGTCTGTCTGCATGATGGAGAGCCTGAGAACCAAGTAACGGCTCAGTCTACAGGGCTGAATGCCTCAGAAGTCCCAATCTGGCAGTAAAATCCCCCAGGAGTGAAGAGCCACTGATCCAAAGTCCACATAGGCAAATGTGGGACCTGAGCTCCAGTATCAGGGAAAGACAATGGCAGTGGCAGCAGAGCCACTGTTAAGCAGTAAACCAGACGAGCAAGCAGGGCTGATTTTTCCTTGGACCTGTAAGGTTGCGCCTACTCTGAAGGAAAACATTCTTCCCTCAGATAATCCTTCCTAAACATGTTTTACCAATCCACACAGAGACATGTCTTGTGATTAATTCAGGAACCAATCAAGTTGACAATCCAGATTAGCCACTAGAGAGGGACATTTGGTTCAGCAGTGGAGGTCACTGGTTTCTCTTTCAGAGGACCCTGATTCCATTTCCATCACCAGTATGGCGGCTCACAATTACCTGCACCTCCAATCCTAGGGCTACTAACACTTTCTTCTGACCTCCAGAGGCACCATGCATGCATATGGTGTATATACATACTCACCAGCAAAATACTCATACACATAAAATAATAAAATTACTAAATCTAAAAGCAAACACTGCAGTAGATAAGAAACAGTTATAATCAACACACTCTTCAAGCCCATATATGTGGTTATTTCTAAAGTATGGACCATTATTTCTATTAAGCTGTCTTGTCACATCATGGAATATCCCATACTTGTTAAATAACACATATTAACAATATGTGAAGGCATTTTCCCAATCAGAAGGTAGGCTGTAAAAATTGAATATTAATACTTATCATTGTTCTCTAGACATCACAGTTGATTCAGATGTTTTTAACAGAGTACAATTTTTCTGTAGACAGATAATATGTTGACCTGCCATTACTTATTATAACTCTTATTTGAAGGACCTTATCAAGTATTCTCATAGCTAAAGATAAAAAATCCCAAAACAAATAAAGATAATGTTCCTTTGGGACAATGGGTGCGACATGAACGTTATATCATTCCATTTAAGTATTGTATCACACATCTTAGTTTTTGAGAAAGGATCTCTGAGTGAACCCAGAGCTCACCATTTTGTTTGGACTGGTTGGTTTCCAAGCTCCTTGGAGGAGCCAGCTCTTCCTCCCACCCTACTACTGCAGTTAAAGGCATGCCAAAAGTTCAGCTATGGAAATCGATGCTCGAGACCCAAGTCCTCATGCTTGCATAGAAAGCGCTTTACCTGCTGAGACATCTCCCCAGCCCTCCAGATATGTAAATTCTCAAAAGCCACTGTGACCCTTCTAAATTAAAAGCACTGAAGGCGGGGGCTTTGGTGATCTGTATTTCCAGAAGCTCTTTTGGAGATGTTGAGAGCCAGTGGTCTAAGGCGAAGTAGTCTGTAACTTCCACCTCTCAAAGCTAACTGGAGCAGAAAGCCTGAAGGGGAAACAGTGCCAAAAATCTCTGGAAAGTTCTTGGTAAGTGTGTTTAATTTTCTTTTACACATGTCAGTTGGTACTTTTGTGGTGTCTGGTGAGTGACGTTCCAGCTTTTTGATTACCAAAGCAGCTGAGGTAATACTTATTATTCCTGTGTTGACTCATATGACCATATATTTATTCATTCTACAAATATTTGTGCAGCACTTACATCAGGCATTTTTGGAGAAAGCATATGCATGCCATAGATAAATATCCTGGCTGAATGTAGTTAAAAACAATAGAGTTGATAATATTATCAATCTAACCAAATTTGTTATAAGAATTACAAAGCAACAGTGTGAGACATAATGTGTCAGGGAATTTCAACTAAACAAGGATCTGTGGCCCCCTCTCTTAAGAAGTGATATTCAGCCTGGCATTACCGAAGGGAGAACTGAACAGGCATTAACCAAGAAAAAAAATGACAGAGATGACTCTCACTGTGCTCAGGAAACTAGAGGAAACAAATACAGTGAGAGAGGAGAGGACAAAAGAAAAGTTGTCTAGTTCCATAATAAGACTTCGTAGCTGAATACACTGAACACTTTGGCTGCAGGATATGGGCAGATCAAGCTGGAGCTGAGTGGGAATTTTTCTACCTCTTAGATAGCCTTCATAGAACCAGGATTGCTGCACAGCCTGCTGGGGAGGAAAATCATCTACAATTTTGCCCAGCTCTGAGTCCTTGGAGGTACAACAATGACCTACCAGGTGAGATATGCCCTCTAGTTCGATAATGGCAGGACTGCTATGTTCATGGTTTGAGATAGAATCTCTACAGGTTGGTAGAAACAAAGTGAAGCCTGGGAAATCATGGTTAATAGGGGACATTTCAAATAAAAATGGTTCCACTGGATGCAGTGAGGACTGTAGCAGAGGCAATGGAAACAGGAGGAGCACAGGGAGGAGTCCACTGCTGAGACCCAAACAAGCATTTAAAATGCTGCCACTAGAATAGAAGGTAAAGCCATGACTTAAACTGCAGAGACCTCACATCTATGGACAGTCAACATTTTCTGGAATCACTTCCAAGTGTTTTTGACTCAGAGACAGATGCAAGACTTAGAAGCACATAATGAGGAGATATTGACCTCAGTGGTCCTTCTCAGTGACTTTAGGGAAGTCCTTGATCAAAAATAGCTCCTCCTATACCACCAAGCCACTCTTACCTCTGAGAATCTTTCCCCTAAGTATTGCCCTTTCACTGTTCTTTTAAACTGAAAATCCCCTGAGAAATTAAAGCTCTGAACTCTGTGAAAATGTTGAACTTGTCAGTTCTCTCCTGACAAAGGCAGGTAATAAGGTTCCATGGTTACAAGGCTAAGCTAACACTGTGCTGTGACCCTGGTTTCCCTCTAACCCAGGTCGGGACAGGGACGTGATTTGACTGACACTTCTTACCCCACACTTGGCCCCTGGTGACTGCAAGTTGACACTTTCACCAGCCCTCTTCCCAGGGTGTCCCATCATCTCTCTTGAGGAGCTGACAGCACCTTGGCATTCCTGACAAATGACTCATTTCCAGACACACACACACACACACACACACACACACACACACACACACACACACACACACACACTTCACTTTTTGAAATTTCACTAAGTACCTCCCCCGCCCCCTGCTCTTCTGACAACTTCTAGCAGTACTTTATGTTAAAACCAGCCTGATTACACCAGACAGGGTTCACCACCCATAGAATTCATTCTCCATCACAGACTCTGATATGCCGGCAATGGCCTGATAGGCGTCATACTCCTGTGGACCTATGGTCTGATGCCTAGTACCACAAAACCTATTGTCTCCCAACTTGTACAGGACTCATTATCCTTCCCAAGGATATCCTATGTCCTTCCTGTAACACTCATTCTTCCCTCTCTCTTCCCCAGACAGAAAATCTCTCTTGCATTGTCCTGCTTCTTCATGTAAATGACTTGTCATTTAAGCCAGTAGAAGTACAAATCATGCTTTCTCAACTTGTATCCATTTCTGCCAGTCCGTCACCTGTTTCCTTTCTTCTTATGCTCAAGGCTATGCCACCAATGCCTTATTCTAAATATTAAAAAGGCTTCTATCTCCCTACCTCCATTCCTGATCCTTCCAGAGGCCCCAAAGCCATTACTCTAAAATACAGATCATCTGCAAAAGCTAATTTTAACCCTTTCATACCAATCTATTGACCTTGGAATAACAACTTTAACTTGGATTCAAAGTTCCATCTAAAAGCGTCTTGTTCCTTTTGACTTTAGAACACCTCTCTCAGTATCCTTAGAAAAATCCTGCTTTCAGGCCGCTGCAACTCTATGTTCATTCTTCCATAAAATGTCTAGTTTTTCTTTATTCAATAGTGCCTCCTTATTCCTTAGAGCTCAAGTCATAAACTGAAAATTTTCATGGCATGCCATTCTCAAAATGATTAAGGGGTCATTGTGAGGCTCAAATATTCTGTGCTCCTTCCCATTTGCCTTGAACTCCATTAATGTACTGGGTCCTTGTCTTCTGTCCTATTGAGCTATGACTTGAAGACTTAGGTGACCATATTTCCAAAGAAACAGCCAGAACAAGATGATGAACAATGGGCCAGGCGGTGGTGGCGCACGCCTTTAATCCCAACACTCTGGAGGCAGAGGCAGGCTGATCTCTGTGAGTTCGAGGCCGGGCTGGACCGACAGCCTCCAAAACAATACAGAGAAACCCTGTCTAGTAAAACCAAAAAAAAAATGATGAACAATGGAACCCATTTTCAGTCCTGTACCTTAGCTGTGATCTTGGCTTCTACATGCCATGCCTTAGAACCTTCTATCATAAAATTTATCTTAGTATCTGTCATTCCAGTACAACTTTATAGCACACCACCAAGTCAATCATTTAACTAATTCTATGGAAAAGGAAACAGCTTGGGGGAAACAGATAATTTGATTATTTTTGTGTAACTAATAGAAGGCAGAGGGGTATTTTCTGGCTGATTTCTTTTTTTTTTTTTTTTTTGGTTTGTTTGTTTTGGTTTTGGATTTTGGTTCTGTTTTATTCTAGCCCAAATAATGCTGTAGACTTTTCCAGGGGAAAGTCCAGGCATCTCCATTTACCCAATTTTACCAAGTTTTTTTCAATTTTTTAAATTAAATTAGTAGCAAGCTTATTTTACATGTCAATCCCAGTTCTCTCTCCCTTCCCTCCTACTCTACCCACCACTGAACCCCTATCCCATCCCTTTTCTGCTTCCCAGGGAGGGTGAGGCCTTCCATGGGGGATCTTCAGAGACTGTCATATCTAGGCTGAGAGAGTTCCCTCTATATGGAATGGACTCCCAAAGTCCATGCGTATGCTAGGGATAAATACTGATCTACTACCAGAAGCTCCATAGATTGCTGAGGCCTCCTCACTGACCACCACTCAGGGAGGTCTGGATCAGTCCTGTTCTGGCCTCCCAGCTATCAGTCTATTTCTACATTGACTCAATATGAAATGATTACAACTGTAGACCTAAGCCATGAGAGATAAAAAATAAAACTGAGGAAAGTAGGAAGGAAGTTATTCCAAGACAAACAAGGAGTGGGTGCCTAATCATTGATAAGCACAGAGCATTGAGGAAATGGGAAGAGGCAAGAAACAACTGTAGTCCCAAGGAATCTCTGTCAGTCTCTAGTTGCATGATCTCAGCTGCCTGACTCTGTTCCCAGATGTTTGCAGTGGAAACAATAAAGGCTAAAGGCTCTCAGGTTAACTTATGGATATAAAATTTACAGAGAGACAAATACATCAATATAGATATGCACGTAGAGGTGTAAGTAAAACAACAGCCCCAAGATTATTCTCTGGACTGGTCTCTGTGACTCAGCATCCAGTAGGTATTTCTTTCTATTCCATTGGCTGTTGATATGAAATAAACTGCTGCAGGAATAGAACAGCTAGCAAACATTTTAGTATAGATATAAGAAGGGATAAGTAGAAAAACGTGCTTCTGACACCTGTGGGGCATTAACCCAAGCATCCAATTCCAAGACAATCTCTTCACTCACCTCCTGTGTGAACTTGGATGTCCCTTAGGTAGGGAATGATGCTCCCTGTCAGTCAGATGCCTGGACTCCAGTAACTGAACAGAGTATTCCCCAGATCACCCAGTATAACCTTCTAAGGCAGTGTGAACTCTTTCATAGTAGTGACTTGTTTTTCAAAGGACAAAGAGCCCTGTGTAGAAGGCGCAGGCTTCTTTTGAGATACCCTTCTGCATTTTCAGAAAGTAAGTTTTCACACAGACTTCTTTGTCAAATAAGTCACAATGTTCAGCATACATTCAAAAGGATGAGGTTAGACCCAGGCTTTCAATTAAAAGTATACAATTTCTGCATCTGTCTTTACAGAACATTACTAGTGGTTCTCCTAGCACCACAATGACACTTGGAAGCAACAGCAGTGTGCACACTACTTCAATAGTCACGGGAAGAATACAGCCAAAGCTGACGGAGGGAGATGCTATTGTGAAACAGCTACTGATGTAGGAGAGTAGGAGCTGCCATATTCTCACCTCTCCATTGTCCTCTGTAAAGCCAGATAGAACAAAGCAAGTACATTTCCCAGGACCAGGTGGCACATGTATAAACCAGGACATCAGGAGCTACTCTTTGAAAAGGTGCTGGAAATGCTGGGAGCACCCCGGGACTTCTTTTCTGACTCACCTGTCATTTTCTGTCCCTTTTCCCTTACCAGAGGGAGGTCACAATGAGTCATTTCTCTAAACTGTGAAGGTAAGAGCATGAAAGCTCTTAGCCACTTTGGCCATCATAAGCCACAGTTACTCCTGAGGGGACTACAGAGGACATGACAGTAAAGCAGGTGCTATACATGAAAGACAGAATACAGTTCCTATGCTTTCTTTCCTGACTACTTGTTTTCTTCCTTCATTCTCTCTTTCCTTCCTTCCACCATGTGGGTTATTGTCACCACAAGATGTGTATGGCCTTTTCCCTCCCCTCAATTCATTGATCTGGTTAAAGAAACAAATAATAATTCAGCACTTTAGAGTTGACCTCTTTTCATTTGCTAATTCTCTAATGTCTCTCTTATAATCCTACAAAATGACTAAATATTGTTTCTTCTTGTCCTCATTATTTTATATGAACTCTTGATGCCATCAACGTTATAGAAAATTACATACACATAAAAGCCCATTCATATCCACATTTTCATTGACACAGTTAAATATCTCATTGTTAAACTTGTTTCATTATGCTAATGCACTACACAGTCCCTTTCATATGAACTTATAGTCTGCACCTATGTCATCCATTGCATGTACACAAACATATAAATCCACAGAATCCTTTGGTGTGGGATAATGCTCTTGTTCACTGTAAAGATTAGTCACTCATATTGATTTAATAAAATGCTGATTGGTCAGTAGCCGCACAGGAAGTATAGATGGGGCTACAAGACTAGGAGAATTTGGGGAAGAAGAAAAGCAGAGAGAGACTCACCAGTCAGACACAGAGGAAGCAAGATGAGAATGCCTTACCGAGAAAAGGTACCAAGCCACACGGCTAAACATAGATAAGAATTATGGGTTAATTTAAGTTGTCAGAGCTTGTTAGTAAGAAGCCTGAGTAATAGACCAAACAGTTTATAATTAGTATAAGCCTCTGTGTGTTTATTTGGAACTGAATTGCTGCAGGATAGGGTGGGACAGAAACT